CCCAAGAAATGACTGCCCTTGAGCATCGAGTTGCTGATGGTAACGGGGATCATGCTCAGCTTCTTCTCGACGCAGTCAGCGTTTCTGTCGACCCAACTTCTGAGAGTAGTGTAGCCTGTTACCGCCAACTGCTGCCAGAACCCAAGGAAGTTAACGATGACACTGAAGATGATGAGGACCAGGAAGCATCAGAGGCAGAACTGACACCCCAAGACAGCGCTATCAAGATGGCACTCGTGGACCATGCTATCATGATTAAGAGGTGCCTTGCCATGTTCGCCCGAAGTCCCAATGAAATTCTCAACAGTAGACATGAGGAGCTTCATAGGTGTAAGTTAGCCTTTAACAGCAGGTTGGTTCATACAACTAATTTATTATAGTCTTTGAGAGTACATTTGCGTCGGAAATCGCACACTTCATGCCTCCTCAGCCCCAACGCGAAACGGTTACGACACCTTCTCCTACTTGGAGACGATTGTCCCGTTCTTCTGAAGCCAGCCCCAAACATAAGAATATTGGGGTTTCGGTGAACGGCGTTACCACAGAAGAAGCGTCAGTCATTAGGCCCGTCTCCAAACGAGGCACACGACTCAGTTTCCTTGGTGGTAGCAAGAAGAAAGAACCCGAGTTGCCAACTGAGCCTGAGGAACCTGCTGTTGATATTGAAACAGCGAGCAACCTGAGCCGCTCTTTGAGCCGAAGTCAAAGCAAAGAACAAAACCGTCGGCATAGCTTTTTCCGCGCTCAATCTCACGACGAGAAGCATCCTGAGTCTCCGGGAGGGCTTAGCAGCCGAGGGAGTTTCGACCAGCAATTCGGCGGCGGCAACGAAAGGGCTGTCGAGAACAAGATCCCTAGCAAGAAGGGCAGTGTCCGCAAGAGATTTAGCATGCTCAAGCTTGGCCGCAAGGGCAGCAAAGGCAATGGCATGATGGGAAGTCTGGACGAGGAGTAGGACTACTTCCGGGCTTATTTTGGCCGCTACAACGTAGGGTTCGACGATAAGGCGTCCCGGCACTGAGGACAAGACTCTCCGAACACCGATAGAAGCATGAACGGACTGACCTATGGAGGTTCCCTTTATACCCTTCCTTTGTATTTCTGGTTCTTTTATGAATGTTGTCCTACCCGAAAAGGGAGCTAGAGGGAAAGAAGATGTATATTCACAAGTAGAGCACCCATGGTTGGATCACCTTGGGAACAGAGACGACTTGTGAACCAGGGAGAAAGGATGGATATACAATGTGCTGATACCTCACTGCTCTCCTGACTACAAGCAGAGAGGAGCTCTTTTCTTTTTATATTTTGTTATCTTCTGGCTTATTTCCCTCACTGATGTTGCCTGCATCGCCACAAAAGACCTCTTCGCATTCATTTGTTTCTTTACTTTTCGCAGGCTATTTCCGTCATGTAAGCTTGGTGTTATGGATACCTAGGATGTTATTTATGCCTAGTTATGGCAGGCCATAGGGAACTGTGTGTGTTTGCGTGCTTGCAGCACACGTACAATTTACGTTTAGAGCCTATGAGGCATCAAGACTTGATAATTCATTCTACTGCGTCTTGTGTGAAAAGCCTGGGCCCCTGGCTTAGGTTTATGTATAGAAAATTTATCTTGATAGAATGATGTCTTTATGACAATGACTCGTTCGAGGCACAACAATCAATACAGTTGCGATTTTCTTGTTAAATACTGACTAAGTCAGGACACATATCAGTTGCTCACACCAATCCTGTTATGGAGCACAGTTTGTCTTCAAATAGACGACATTAGGTTTCCTGGCCTGTAGCTGTCACCTTCCTCGGTTTCCCAGGATATATCTCGCCCCTTGCCATGAAGTAAACAGTCGTATGTTAGTCGTATGTTAGTCGTATGGTGCTCTGTCATCCCTAAACCATCAAGCATAACCTCTCATTCGGAGAGAGATAGTTAACCTTCTTCGGAGGACTTCAGCGCAAACAAATGCGAAACAAGTGTTCGACGCCCATTGTCTTGGTAAACTCGTCGCTGTTCCTCCGAACCCCAAGCCTCCGAGATCTGCTGCTTTCGAATAACGCTAGCACTCTTGAGGGTATCTCCTTGTCCGACCTGTCTCATATACAAAGCTGGTGCTACGATGCACACACTGTGCAGGTTGTGATACAAGTCTCCTTCGTAAGGTGGAAGGTCAAGTTACCGCAGGTTGAATCCCTTCCTATTCTGCAGTACGTTCTTGCAGTCAAACCACATGAGTGAATCAGCGAACCTAAGCATTGGATGGAGTTCTCCACCAACACTGGCGGGAAAGGAATTTATGTCCAAATAGAAGTGGTGGGTTGAGATTTGTAATTTTTTATATAATCTAATGGCGGGATACACAACAACGCCGATGAGGTCCTGGTAGCAATTGTGAAGATTATCCTCCCGGGAGAAAATCCTCAGCATGTCGGAAAGTTGTACAACTATCTCCTTAGCTTTTCTTTGGCGAACTGGAAAAAACTGGGGATAAATGAGAAGAGGTTGTATGCTTCAGCAGTCCATGTTCTCACTGTGAAATGGTCTGCACAAGGCTCGTGTTAGCGGTCTCGAGTTGTATGCACGCATGTCTCCATAGCTGCTTTGACATAACCCTATTGGGTTCAGCTGAGGCTCGCATGTGGTTTTCGATAAAATTGATAGTCTATATACTGTGTGGTATGGCATCGTAGAGAAAAGACTGGAAGACCTTAACATGAAGATGTCTCATAATCACAGATGTGACGATGTCCTCGTCAGTCTCTGGGAAATTCAGACCGTCAATCAGATCCGGGTATTTTCTGAGAAATCTCGCAAGTCTATCAGCATCGAGTATGTGCCTCTTCGCATGGGTCAAGAAAGCATGAGCATCATCATCACAGTCCTCCAGCCAGGTTTTCATGAGCTTCTGTACCCAGTCCTGAATTTGTTCAATAAGAGCATCATAATCCTCAACTTAAGATTAGCATTTGCAAAAAAAGGCGTGTAGTTACTTGAAAACGGATCTCGTACCTGCGCAACCTCAGGTGTCAGATCCTTGCGGTAGGTCTGGAGACTGAATATGTGGGACTGCGCATCGTTGAGGGTCTCTGAGTACACGGTTCTACTCGGTCAGCTCTTTGGTCTTGCTTGCCAGGGCCATGTGGGAGCTCAATTTATGCTCCATGCTCATGACTTTCTTCGTAAGCCTGTTTGTCTCTTCTCGGCAATCTGATTGTTCTCAGTGGGTACGGATAGCCTTTGTAGGAGACCTTCGACAAGGCGAAGTTGGGGGTTTTCCTCTGGACCGGTGTTAGAGTGATGAATGAAACTGAGTGTTTTCGAATCATAATGTGAACCAAGTGAGCCAGCCTTTTCAGTCGTGGAGCATGGTTCAGTTGTTCGCAGCAACTGCGGCTCAGCCTCGCCGAAACTGCTAAGGATATTGAAGATTTCTCTAGAGTGATGGGATTCTTCTAGAGTATGTTGAGACGGGCTATTTCGAACTTCAATATCTCGCTCGTAGTGCTCATGAGTCTTGGTTGTGTTAAGGCTTCCAGCGTCCCAGCTGCTGGGCATGACCCCAGATGACATGTTTAGAAGTTCCTTCTCTGGTGAAAGTGGTATGCGTTGCCCTTCTCTCTGGCTGTGGTTTTGCATAGTGGAAATTTCAGAGCCTGGGTTGACCTTAGGCACGCAATCAATCCCTTCCTCGGCGATTGCTTTAAGCCTGATCGTTTTTACGAATTCGTTTGTAGGGGGGGAGTCAAGCGCAAAGTCAGGCCTGAGTAGAATGATAAAAATGAGATGTTGTGTTGAATTGTGTTTCTGATCAGAATAATTGTAATGTACATAAATGAAGAAGTAACTAGAATAAAGTCATGAAAAACCCCTAATTGAGCGGCATCAGCTGGATGTGTACTACATAGTTACAGCAAGCAAACGTGCGGAAGTGCAGTTTAGGGGAGGAAAGAAAACCCAGGACCTTTGTCCTAAATCTCGAAAAGATTTAGGTTACTTGATATAACTCTAGCCTAGGTTCAAGATACTGTTTTGCCAAGTTTAATTTTGATCTTTCTATCAATGCCGATGATTTCTTGCTCCTCGAGGGCAGTGTAAAAGAAAGAGTGAGAAGGCGAGGCGCTTTAGTTTTCGGGTGCCTGCAGACTCCAGTACCTAGATACAACAGAAGCCAAACCTCTGTAATTGACGTTAGCAGCCACAAACAGCGTTCGTTCAGCTACAATTGATCAGAATGTTCGCATTTAATCTGACTGGCGTTATTCGATTGCTCAATTGCTTCACATCATGTTTTGATCTCCCTTGTTTCTATATAAGAAACCTTGATACAGTTCCCTGGAGTTTCATGAAAACGACATTCTCTCTTTGGTGATATCTTCAAGCACTTTATGGATCCAAAGCGGGGCAGGATGCTCGCCGCTGGCAGATGTCAGTCGGCTAAACCGTCATATTAGATACGATAAAGAGTAGTGAGACTAATGAAATAGATCCGATGCTTTTTCAAGTCGCATGAAACTCTGCATCGTATCGCCAAACGGGCATGGTCTGAGTCTTTCTTATTAGAAGTGGAGTGAAGTACAAACCTTTAAACCAACCCCCACAGAGTGATCAGCGAAACCCCTGTTACACCCCTGCCGAGTGTGGCACACCAAACGGATACACGCTCAGCCGCATCTGTATCTGATGGAACTAATGCTTTAGTGGCTGCTCTGTGTTAACGTCCATGCACGTCTGCCTCTGACCGCCCAGGTCAACATACCTACTGCCAGCTTTCTAAGGATAGTATACTTCTGGTAGAGTACCGAAGCTGAATTTGTGGCCAGTCGTTTATTACCATGATGGAACAAGAGAGACATTGCGAGATTTAACAGCCCACTCGCTTAATACGCGAACAACTGCCTCTCATTACTCAAGCCGAGTACCGTATTCTGGAAAAGAAGGCAAACACTGTGACCCAACGTCCTGCCATTGGAATTAAGTCAAACTTCAAGTCGTGATGGCTGAAATGCCGGAGTGTAAGACCCTTAAAGACACTGCTAAATATGAAATCGAAAGCCAGCAGCAACAAACAAGACTTATATACCTAGGGTTCAAGCTGTAAGTGTCAAAACATTCATAAAATAAGCAGCTGGATGGCTCATACCTTCAAAGGGACTTAGACCTTTCCACACAGGCTGTTGGCCACAATACAAGTGCCGAGGGTGTACGAAGCGGCCGAAATACCGATGAACTTGTTACCGACTTGATTGCCCAGCTTGTTGAGCATCTCATGTACACCTTACGTGAGAAGCTCGGCAGTGGTCTTGTCAACAGCACTCCTTTGCAATTTTTCATCACCGTACCAGCTATTTGGAGCGACTTAGCGAAGGAAAAGACTATGAAGGCATCAGACGTTCATAAAATATTTGAGCCTGTGGTGCTTGAGGTCATTAGATTGGTAAAGGATCAGATCACAGCAGGCAACGTGCCCGTTCAAGCCATTCTTCTGGTAGGCGGTTTTGGGTCCTCAAATTACCTCAAGGAGCGACTTCGAGCTGCCATAGATAGCTCTGTACGGATATTGCAGCCCCCCAATGCATGGCAGGCTATTGTACAGGGAGCAGTGCTCAAAGGACTTGCTCTTTCATCTCCAGACTCCACAGTGGTCAAAGTGGAAAACCGCAAGGCCCGAAAACACTATGGCACTGAATGGAGTGTTCGTTGGGATGAAAAGTCACCGAAATCTAAAGAGCGAAAGATATTGGTGCGGTCTCGACGGCTGCTACAAAGTCCGAGTCATGGAGTGGTTCATTACGAGAGTAGGTTGACAGACGCCATTTCACTTAGCAAATCCAACCAAACTGACATCACAATAGGGTTCGACAGTATCTGAGAACGAGCCATATATCGCCGCATTTGTATGGACAAATCCTGTTAGTAAAGGACGCATTCGAACGGTCAGGATGACTATATACAATGACCCTTTGTCTCGAGATGCTCCATTGTCCCGCAACGACAATGTCGGGATTCTCTCAATCGTTGAAGCAGACGTCAATCATATTCCGGAGAATCAGCTACGTCGCAGAAAGGGATGCGATGGCCAATGGTACTACGAGCTGAACTGTAAGATCTAGGCTGTGTATACCTCCGCATCCACTAGTGACACTCTGATCTACCAAAGTAAGTTTCTTTAGGGCAATTTTGTGTGCTTTATGTTAACTGTTCTGACAGGCCAGCGCTCTAGCACTGTGTCATGTGAATATGTTTAAAGCCATCTATATGCTCACGGTGATTCTTGTATCTGCGAGTCTCAAGCCGTAAGCAAGGTAATGATATCCATATTTGGACCAAACTTTGGTGGCTCTGGCACAGGTTGTTGGATAAAATGTGCCAAGCTGATCTAGTTCACATATTAAAAGAAGAGTGATTACCAGTCGGTAGCACACTTCTCGTCACTGCGCTTGTGATCTACTGTACCTACCTCAGGACCTTACCTAGGTAAGGCACGCGACCATACCTATACCGCCCCAGGGGGTGGGTGCATCGGCATAAGATGGCTTGAGAAGGCGGGGGGCCACATGGGATCCATGTTATAACCTTAATACGGCACGCACATGGGTTGGGGCCTAAGGGTCTAAGGATGGTGTGTCGAATTCGTGGTCGTGAATGGCTTCAATTGCCCTCCGATGAAGCCTAACAGGTTGCCCTTTGCTTTAACCCACTGCAGGCTTCTCGGGCCAATGCGGTGTAAAGATGGCCTTCAGCTACGGAACTGACTTCCAAGACACCAGTTTTTCTTTCTTT